GTTGTCATCAATCATCTGTTGTCATTAATCACACACAATCACCCAATCACATGTCATCATTCACCTGTTGCCATCAATCACCTGTTGTCATCAATCATCTGTCGTCATTACACACACACACACACACACACACACACACACACACCTCGTTAACAATAAACAGGGTATTTGACAAACACGCAAATAACAACCACAAAAATAACATTAATTTTAACTAAATAGAAGGTGGTGAAAATAACGTGTGTAAATAATAATAATATTAATTGAATTGAATTAAACAGTTAATTTAGCCATAAGAACACAGATACAGAGTGGATAATACAATTATTTTAACATGGCTGAGTTGGAACCTGAGCTGCACCTGATATATACTATACATTAACTGTTTATTGAAAGAACCTGGCAGCCAAAAGGTTAAAAATATAGTTCCATAATTGATGAATCCTTGATTTACAAATAATACACTAAATAAGTGATATAAAATTAGGTGGGGGAGAAGGTCATACTGCAGGGCATTTCAACATAGTGACAGTGCAAAAAGGTAAGATTGGCTGGAGTGAATACACTGGTTGATTACGAGTTATTGATAATTTTACAATGGTTGGGACTGGGCTGTTCTTATAGCGATGGGCATGTGCTCGTATCGGCTGGATGTGGTTGTGGTGTCAAACAGCAATTCTCGGGCGAGGGATCTCAGGTGGTAGTAGGAGCCGGTGTCGAGGATGCTGTAGAAGCTTCTTACCAAATTTGCAGATGAGGTCGTGGTGATGGTCAGTGAGAGTCGAGAGGGTCAGTGTGTTGAGCTTTGATATGTGGAGTAGGAAGGGGAGAGAATAATCTTGCATGCCCTCTTTTGCACTTTTTTTCTAGGTGTTTACGTTGTGTGGCATTTAGAGGAAGACCAGGTAGGGGAGGCATAGGTGAGCTTGGGAAGTGTGTGTGTGTGTGTGTGTGTGTGTGTGTGTGTGTGTGTGTGTGTGTGTGTGTGTGTGTGTGTGTGTGTGTTGAGGATATCAGATAAGATTAATTTTATCTTAATTATCTTTATGGTTTGAACTGCATTGATTCCCAACTACATGATATGAGAGAGACAGGGGGGTGTGAGAGAGAGGGGGGGGAAGAGAGAGAGAGAGGGGGATGTAAGAGAGAGAGAGAGAGAGAGGGGGGAGAAGGTGTAGAGAGACAATCACCTATTAAAACACACACACACACACACACACTTCTCCAAACCTATACCCCTCCCATCCCCCACCTACCTCACCCCCTCCCCCCACCTCCCCCACCCTCCTCCCCCACTCCCCACCCTCCCCCCACCTACCTCACCCCCTCCCCCCACCAACCCTTCACCCCTCCCCACCTACCTCACCCCCTCCCCCACCCACCACCCCTCCCCCACCTACCTCACCCCCTCCCCCCTCCCCCACCCACCCCCACCCCCTTCCCCCCCACCCCCCCTCCCCCACCTACCTCACCCTCCCCCCTACCTCCACCCCTCCCCCACCCACCTCACCCTCCCCCACCCACCCACCCCTCCCCCACCCCACCCCACCCCCCACCCACACCTCACCCTTCAACCCACCTACCTCACCCCTCCGCCACCCACCTTCACCCTCCCCACCACCTGACCCTCCCCTACCTACCTCAACCTCGCCTACCTCCAACCTCACCCCTTCCCCACCACCTCACCCCCCCCAACACACACACCTTAACGGCCACCAACACAGCTCAATGTGAAGCAGCGCCGGCCCAACCTTGGAAAACCTAACCTAACCAAACCTAACCTAACCTAACCAAACCTAACCCAACCAAAACCTAAATCTAACCTCGCCTTACCTAACCCAACCAAAACCTAACCTAACTCCAAACCCAAACCTAACCTAACCAAAACCTAACCTAACCTCGCCTTACCTAACCTAACCAAAACCTAACCTAACCTAACCAAAACCTACCAACCTAACCTAACCAGGTAGAAGGAAGTCCTTGTGCACCTGTGGTAATTAGTCATACAGGTGTACTTTGGTGTACCTGGAGAGAGAGAGAGAGAGAGAGAGAGAGAGAGAGAGAGAGAAGGGGGGAGAGAGAGAGAGAGAGGAGAGAGAGACAGGCAGAAAGTTGAAGGATATTGTAACATTTGAAAGGAATTAAATAGACTTAAACCGACATTATGAAGCGTTGTGAGATAATGGTCAGGAAGGATAAAGGTCTTCTCCTTATGATAGGTAGATTATTATAATTATTACTATTATTAATATTCTGTCATCATCACCAGGTGGGCATGGAGGTGCAGTGTGATGCCCAGGTGTAATTAACCTGTGCCCAGAGATGCCCAGGTCATTAGGAGTTATAATTACTATCCTAATTAGTAGCATCCTAACCTAAGCTAACCTAACCTATCTTGTTCTGATACTAACCTAACCCAACCTCCTATCCTACCCTAACCAAACCTCCTAACCTAACCTAAGCTAACCTAACCTATCTTGTTCTGATACTAACCTAACCCAACCTCCTATCCTACCCTAACCAAACCTCTCCTAACCTATCCTACAACCCCTTCCTAACCCTATCCTAACCTAACCTAACCACATCTCAGGATTAAAGGGGAAGAACTGCTAGGATAATAGGGATATACTGTAGTGGATGAGAGGCGTATCCAACAGCTGTGGGGCGTCCTTGGGCTCAGCTAAAGGGTTATGGCAACTTGGGGAATTATTTGAATCTGTTGAATTATGGCAACTTTCATTGTTTAGTTGTATGGTAAATTTCAGTGTTATGGCAACTTTCATGTTTAGTATATGGCTTGTTGTTTTGTTTGGTTTGTGTTGTTGGTTTGTTTTGGTTTCGTGTTAGTATTATGGCAACTTTCGTTCAGTATTATGGCAATTTTCGTGTTCAGTATTATGGCAACTTTCAGTGTTCAGTATTATGGCAACTTTCAGTGTTCAGTATTATGGCAACTTTCAGTGTTTAGTAGTATGGTAAATTTCAGTATTATGGCAACTTTCAGTGTTCAGTAGTATGGCAACTTTCAGTGTTTAGTAGTATGGCAACTTTCAGTGTTCAGTATTATGGCAACTTTCAGTGTTCAGTATTATGACAATTTTCAGTGTTCAGTATTATGGCAACTTTCAGTGTTCAGTATTATGGCACCTTTCAGTGTTTAGTATCATGGCAACTTTCAGTGTTTAGTATCATGGCAACTTTCAGTGTTTAGTATCATGGCAACTTTCAGTGTTCAGTATTATGGCAACTTTCAGTGTTCAGTATTATGGCAACTTTCAGTGTTCAGTATTATGGCAACTTTCAGTGTTTAGTATCATGGCAACTTTCAGTGTTTAGTATCATGGCAACTTTCAGTGTTCAGTATCATGGCAACTTTCAGTGTTCAGTATTATGGCAACTTTCAGTGTTTAGTATTATGGCAACTTTCAGTGTTTAGTATCATGGCAACTTTCAGTGTTTAGTATCGTGGCAACTTTCAGTGTTCAGTATTATGGCAACTTTCAGTGTTCAGTATTATGGCAACTTTCAGTGTTTAGTAGAATGGCAAATTTCAGTATTATGGCAAGTTTCAGTGTTCAGTATGGCAACTTTCAGTGTTCAGTATTATGGCAACTTTCAGTGTTCAGTATTATGGCAACTTTAAGTATTCAGTATTATGGCAACTTTCAGTATTCAGTATTATGGCAACTTTCAGTGTTCAGTATTATGGCAACCTTCAGTGTTCAGTATTATGGCAACTTTCAGTGTTCAGTATTATGGCAACTTTCAGTGTTCAGTATTATGGCAACTTTCAGTGTTCAGTATTATGGCAACTCTCAGTGTTCAGTATTATGGCAACTCTCAGTGTTTAGTATTATGGCAACTCTCAGTGTTTAGTATTATGGCAACTTTTCATTATTGAACGCCTTGTGAGTGTATGTATGTATGTATGTATGTATGTATGTATGTATGTATGAGTATATGTATGTATGTTTAAATGTATGAATGAGTATATGTATGTATGTATGCATGTATGTATGTATGAGTATATGTATGTATGTTTAAATGTATGAATGAGTGTATGTATGTATGTATACAGTGTATGGGTATACGTGGCCGTACACACAGTCATATGTATCAAGTCGAGGTTTTATTGCACAGAATAGTGATCATATTTTCTTTGTGTCTTATTCACCTGAAGATTAGGCACCCCAGCTTATTTTACCTGAAGATTAGACACCCCAGCTTATTTTACCTGAAGATTAGGCACCCCAGCTTATTTTACCTGAAGATTAGGCACCCCAGCTTATTTCACCTGAAGATTAGACACCCCAGCTTATTTTACCTGAAGATTAGGCACCCCAGCTTATTTTACCTGAAGATTAGACACCCAGCTTATTTCACCTGAAGATTAGGCACCTCCAGCTTATTTTCCCTGAAGATTAGACACCCTGAAGATTAGGCACCCCAGCTTATTTTACCTGAAGATTAGACACCCCAGCTTATTTTACCTGAAGATTAGGCACCCCAGCTTATTTTACCTGAAGATTAGGCACCCCAGCTTATTTCACCTGAAGATTAGACACCCCAGCTTATTTTACCTGAAGATTAGGCACCCCAGCTTATTTTACCTGAAGATTAGACACCCAGCTTATTTCACCTGAAGATTAGGCACCTCCAGCTTATTTTCCCTGAAGATTAGACACCCTAGCGCCACCTTGGGCGTTAGGTCAGGTTCAGTTAGGTTAAGTAAGGAAGAAATAGGTGAGGATTTGGTTAAATTTGGTTGAGTTTGGTTAGGTTAGGTTAAGTGAGGTTTTATTAAGCTGGGTTAGGTTAGGCTAGGTTAGGTTTTATTAAGCTGGGTTAGGTTATGTTAGGCTAGGTTGTTAGATTAGCGTTAGGTTAAATTATGTTAACATCAGAAGAGGTTAATCTCCAGGTGAAATAAACTGACATCAAATCATCAGGTGTTCTTAAAATATATTCTTAACACCAACTAATCCATATTTTATTTCCAGGTTTCAGTAACGAGAAGAATGAAGTGTTAAAACTGAACGAAGAAAAAATAAAACCAAATTAAACCCAAGTGTGAAAAATTAAACCCAAGTGACATGAAATAATTTGACCTAAGCATAGATAAGGTGACCCGGTGTATACAGTCTGTTGACCTCATGAGAAGCGCTGTCAAGTGTGTTGGTGATTGTCAGAGAGTTAAAGTGCGTGGGTTAAAAAGTTCGTTTATGGTTATTATCGAGTCGAGAGAAAATTAAACTCGATTGTGTTATTTGGGAAGAATAAACGGATTTTAATTGACACCTGGTTCGTTTACCTGCTCACCTGGATCCGTATAGTAACACCTGGGCCGTATATTCACATTCACACCTGGCCCCGTATATCAACACACCTGCAGAACTGACAGGTGTGTGGAACAGGTAGAACAGGTGTATGAGTGTTTGATAGTCATATTGGTTTACTTAACGAGCAGGAAAACACAATGGGCTAGCCAATAGGTACGGTGCAGGTAAGAAGCCTTGGATCACCGTACCGTACTTAACTATCACCTGGGTAGTTTGGCTTGGCTTAATTGCTTTCCTTTGCCTCTGATTGGTCAAGGGGAGAACCAATAAGGAATAATGATCATCTAGCGAACTACTAAAAACCTACCACAAACTACAAAAATTCTACCACAAGCAGGATTTCCCCCATCCCCCTTCACTCAAAATCGCCTCCTGAAGGTAAGTTGTTTTTGTTATTGTTTTTGTGATTGTTTTTGTGATTGTTTTTGTTATTGTTTATGTTTTTTGTGGTTAGTGAGTTTATACACCTCTATCATGTCGCCCCTCGCTCTACGTCTCTCGAGGGAGTACAAATTAAGATGCTTTAACCTGTCTCTGTACTCAAGGTTCCTAATGCCCGGGATTAGTCTTGTCATTCTCCTCTGGATTCTTTCCAAGGATTCTATAACCATTCTGTAATACGGTGACCAGAACTGAACTGCATAATCCAAGTGAGGTCTAACAAGCGCAGGATATAGTTTTAGGATGACCTCGCTAGTCTTGTAACTAACACTGACCTAATAATCCAAGTGAGGTCTAACAAGCACAGGATATAGTTTTAGGATGACCTCCCTAGTCTTGTAACTAACACTGACCTGATAATCCAAGTGAGGTTTAACAAGCACAGGATATAGTTTTAGGATGACCTCGCTAGTCTTGTAACTAACACTGACCTAATAATCCAAGGGAGGTCTAACAAGCGCAGGATATAGTTTTCGGATGACCTAGCTAGTCTTGTAACTAACACTGACCTGATAATCCAAGTGAGGTCTAACAAGCGCAGGATATAGTTTTAGGATGACCTCCCTAGTCTTGTAACTAACACTGACCTGATAATACAAGTGAGGTCTAACAAGCGCAGGATATAGTTTTCGGATGACCTCGCTAGTCTTGTAACTAACACTGACCTGATAATCCAAGTGAGGTCTAACAAGCGCAGGATATAGTTTTCGGATGACCTCGCTAGTCTTGTAACTAACACTGACCTGATAATCCAAGTGAGGTCTAACAAGCGCAGGATATAGTTTTCGGATGACCTCGCTAGTCTTGTAGCTAACACTGACCTGATAATCCAAGTGAGGTCTAACAAGCGCAGGATATAGTTTTCGGATGACCTCGCTAGTCTTGTAACTAACACTGACCTGATAATCCAAGTGAGGTCTAACAAGCGCAGGATATACAGAAGAGGAAAAGGGTGGGGGGTGTCAGGTGTAGTCGTGGTATCTAGTATTTATTAAACATGAATTGGCAACGCTGACATGTCGACCCCCGTTAGTACAATCTATCACACCTGTTTTACCTTACCTGGGCTTAATTCCCCCGTTAGTACAATCCTCCACACCTGTTTTACCTTACCTGGGCTTAATTCCCCCGTTAGTACAATCCTCCACACCTGTTTTACCTTACCTGGGCTTAATTCCCCCGTTAGTACAATCTATCACACCTGTTTTACCTTACCTGGTCTTGATTCTGCTAGTAAACACGGTGTTGATTCTGTTAGTACAATCCTCCACACCTGTTTTACCTTACCTGGACTTGATTCCCCCGTTAGTACAATCCTCCACACCTGTTTTACCTTACCTGGACTTGATTCCCCCGTTAGTACAATCCTCCACATCTGTTTTACCTTACCTGGTCTTGATTCCCCCGTTAGTAAAATTCTTGGTGTTGATTCCCCCGTTAGTACAATCCTCCACACCTGTATGACCTACCTGGGCTTCCTCACCTGTGGGCTGTTGTTCGGGTTAGTGTTAGGTTAGGTTAGGTTAGTGTTAGGTTAGGTTAGGTTAGTGTTAGGTTAGTGTTAGGTTTGGTTAGTGTTAGGTTAGTGTTAGGTTAGGATGAGTTGGAGTTAGTGTTAGGTTGGGTTGAGTGTTAAGTTAAGAAGCAGTTACTGTTAGGTTGGAGAAGCGGTTGGTGTTAGGTTTGGTTAGGTTAGTGTTAGAGTTGGAGTTGGTAGGTTAGGTTAGTGTTAGTTGGGTTAGGTTAGTGTTAGGTTGGGTTAGTGTTAGGTTGGGTTTGGTTAGGTTAGTGTTAGGTTGGGTTGTAGTATTAGGTTAGGTTTGGTTAGTGTTAGGTTGGGTTAGTGTTAAGTTAGGCTTGGTTGTAACATTGGGTTAGGCTTGGTTGGTGTGGGTTTTAGTTAGTGTTAGGTTGGGTTGGGTTAGTGTTGGGTTAGGTTTGGTTAGTGTTAGGTTACGTTTGGTTAGTGTTAGGTTAGGTTTGGTTAGTGTTAGGTTAGGTTTGGTTAGTGTTAGGTTGGGTTAGGTTAGTGTTAGGTTAGGTTTGGTTAGTGTTAGGTTACGTTTGGTTAGTGTTAGGTTAGGCCTGGTTAGTGTTAGGTTAGGTTTGGTTAGTGTTAGGTTGGGTTAGGTTAGTGTTAGGTTAGGTTTGGTTAGTGTTAGGTTACGTTTGGTTAGTGTTAGGTTGGGTTAGGTTTGGTTGGGTTGTGTTGGGACGATGGTCATTTCGCTCTTCTCCCGAATATTGACCAACCAGTGGGCACTATACCTGGTGACATCTGGTAAGGAGGTGTATAAAGTTTTCCCTGTCAATGCGACAGATGGTGATAACCTAACCTAACCCAACCCAAGCTAACCTAACCCAACCCAAGCTAACCTAACCTAACCCAACCCAAGCTAAACTAACCTAACCCAACCCAAGCTAACCTAACCTAACCCAACCCAAGCTAACCTAACCTAACCTAATATCACCTGGGGTAAAAAGAAAAACAACATGGCGGCGTAATTGGCCATGACAGGTGCAGAACGCAAGACGCTCAAGAGTTAAATTGTTACCTACCAAGGAATCATACAGCTTGTGTTGTCGGTATTGCTTGGGGTTGTGTTGTCGGTATTGCTTGGGGTTGTGTTGTCGGTATTGCTTGGGGTTGTGTTGTCGGTATTGCTTGGGAGGTTGTGTTGTCGGTATTGTGCTTGGGGTTGTGTTGTCGGTATTGCTTGGGGTTGTGTGTTGTCGGTGTTGGCAGGGGTTGTGTTGTCGGTATTGCTTGGGGATTTGTGTTGTCGGTATTGCTTGAGGTTGTGTTGTCGGTATTGCTTGAGGTTGTGTTGTCGGTATTGCTTGGGGTTGTGTTGTCGGTAGTGCTTGGGGTTGTGTTGTCGGTATTGCTTGGGGTTGTGTTGTCAGTGTTGGGGTTGTGTTGTCGTGGTCTTGGTTGTGTTGTCGGTATTAGCAGGGTTGTGTTGTCAGTAGTGCTTGAGGGTTGTGTTGTCGGTATTGGCAGGGTTGTGTTGTCAGTAGTGCTTGGGGTTGTGTTGTCGGTATTGCTTGAGATTGTTTGTCGGTATTGCTTGGGGTTGTGTTGTCGGTATTGCTTGGGGTTGTGTTGTCAGGCAGTAGCAGGGGTTGTGTTGTCGGTATTGCTTGGGGTTGTGTTGTCGGTATTGCTTGGGGTTGTGTTGTCGGTATTGCTTGGGGTTGTGTTGTCGGTATTGCTTGGGGTTGTGTTGTCGGTATTGCTTGGGGTTGTGTTGTCAGTGTGCTTGGTTGTGTTGTCGGTATTGCTTGGGGTTGTGTTGTCGGTATTGCTTGGGGTTTATTGTTGTCGGTATTGCTTGGGGTTGTGTTGTCGGTATTGCTTGGGGTTGTGTTGTCGGTATTGCTTGGGGTTGTGTTGTCGGTATTGCTTGGGGTTGTGTTGTCGGTATTGCTTGGGGTTGTGTTGTCGGTAGTGCTTGGGGTATATGTTGCAATTGCATGACCTTTAAGTGATGTTTGAGGTGAAGGTTAAGGGTTGAACGCCTTTGACTACCAATTATGCATGTAGCCATATGTTGCATTGGGGTATTGTCTTATTGCTGTTGAACCATGATTATGTGGAAGGTATGGTAACTGCATATGATATGGCAACTACCTGACATTAAGATATGGCAACATGGCATTATGAAGATATGGCAACTACATGACATTAAGGTATGGCAACATGGCACTATGTAGATATGGCAACTACCTGACATTAAGATATGGCAACATGGCATTATGAAGATATGGCAACTACATGACATTAAGGTATGGCAACATGGCACTATGTAGATATGGCAACTACCTGACATTAAAATATGGCAACATGGCATTATGAAGATATGGCAACTACATGACATTAAGGTATGGCAACATGGCACTATGTAGATATGGCAACTACCTGACATTAAAATATGGCAACATGGCATTATGAAGATATGGCAACCACATGACATTAAGGTACCGCATTATGAAGATATGGCAACTACATGACATTAAGGTATGGCAACATGGCACTATGTAGATATGGCAACTACCTGACATTAAAATATGGCAACATGGCATTATGAATATATGGCAACCACATAACCACGAGAGTTTTAACAACTGAAACTCCCACCAATTCATACATTGTTGCAAAGCCCAGCCCACCATTGCAGTGAAACATGTAACCCTTCTGCAATGCTTGCAATGGGGGCACTGGGTACGGATATTCAACCATGCAATTTAAAGTATGAATATGCGGTTAATA